ATCCTCTTACAATTTTACACTAATGGATTTTGTAGAGCTCATAAAAATTAAAAATAATACTGAAAATGTGTTTTTGTTTTATTCTTCTCGTGATGGATGCATACGTATCTTACTAAGGGGTGATACTTTCATTTTAGGGACTTAATGACTCAGGAGGGAAAATAGTGTCCATATGTAGAGTTTTGGAAACGCTGGTTTAAGCTGTCTGTTAAGTAAAAGTCAGTTCAGTTGAGTTTTTATTTTATGCTGCGAAACTGGGTCCAACACGCCTCATCTTCCATTTGATCTCGTAAATTTTACAACGCTCCTTCGCCGCCTTGCGGAGAAAGAACGTATCGATCGGGTGACAAAACTGGCGATATGAATTTAGCTAGAGGCTTCTTTTAGGATTGAAGTTTTTTTACATGCAGTAAATCTACAACATGGGACCGCTGGATTTACTTCCTCTCCGAAGAAGGGAATGCGAAATTTGTTCCGCCCTTAAAACGCGATCTTCGAGATCGCGGACTTTTCCGACTTCAAACCGTCAAGTACAATCCAATACAGTAACCGTTGTATCAACGCACTCACTTTTTTGCTTGTTTTTTTGTTTGTTATTGTTGTTGTCGTAGTTGTTGCGAAAGAAACTGTATTCCAAAGCCCGTCTATGCGGACCCCTTTCGAGAATGTAGCACGCGAACGCAGCAGAGCAATATCCCGTAAGACAGACTACCCAATCTTCGTTTCATCTCGGTTTTAATCTAGTAATTAGAACCGTTAGGGCGGAGTCTCAGAGAGTCTTGCGACGCTCTGGAGACCGCAATTTCCTCAGCAATTAACGTAAAGCTGCCTCGACAAGGTGGGCGTAAAATTATGTAATTATTTCGTATTGTTCCTTGGACCATTTGGTTCGCAGCTGCAGTCGCCCGCTGCAACGAAAGTTCTATGCGCGGAAAATATAGATGGCCGACGCAGTGTTTTCTGCTTTGCAAGAGGCATTTCATTCTGTCAGTTGGAGAGTGGAGCGAAATTAGTGCCCCTTCGTTCTGCAAGTCGCGTGGTGCTCTACAAGTTCTTGCGCCCAGCGGTAGAAGTAAAGCCAAAGGATCATCAAGAGAGAAATAAATTTTCTCGTCAAAAACTTCCTAAGATATTCTTCATTTTTTCTTATGTATTAGTATATTTAAATAATCAGTAGTGTATTTTAATATTTAATAATCTCGTAATTGCTTATACAATTGTAGTATATCATTGAATGACATTTGAAAAATGCTCACATCTCCGTTACATAAACAACTGCTAGCGTTACTACAGAACAAGTGCTGAAAGATGAGAGAATCGCAGGACAAGAGGTTGATCATAAACCTGCTACACTTCTAACTAATACGAAAAATATGTTTCCTTTTTTGATCATTTTGGAACGTGAAAGGTACCTTCCCTGAATTATTACCGAGTCTAGTCCAATTTTTATGTGAATTTGTTTTCTGAACTGAAATACCAATCATATTGAAAAACCTACCTTTTTTATTTAAGCATTTTTAGAAAGTTTGAAGAACACTCAATATCAACATATTTAATTTTAGGGATTATGAAAAATGTGCTCCGTCAAATTAATTAGTTAATTGTATTTGAAAACAATGATATGTAGATTTTATTTGCACTTTACGTTTTAAATGAATCATTCCAAGTTTTTCATTTAACGTACTAATTTTGTAACTTCTTTTATATTCATAGGGTAGAAAACTATGATTGTCTATTACTGAAAAGACCATCGACTTCAAAAATTCTAGTATTTCCAATTATTCGCAATGTTTGTCTTCCTTCCATTGATTATAATGTACAACTTTATTTGTGTGAAAATTCTGTGTTAAATAGTTAAAATAATTTACCTTATCCAAAAGTGCTACCAATTTTGATAGATTTAATAGATAATTTACTGGAGATCGAGGCAGAAAAACAAAGGATCTTGAAACAAGTGCAGTTATGTTGAATTTCCAATACAGTTCACAGTGGTAAGAAAAATCTCGCTATTCCTGGAATGGTAGAATAGATCCCCCTGCAATTGCTTTGTAGTGTTAAATTGTTTGTGCTCTCGCAAAAGGCTGTTAGTGTCAAAAGTGTAGAGGATCCCTACTTGCGTGAAATGTTATTCAACATCCCTGCAGTCGGTGTTTAGAATAGAAAGTAAAGTGGAGTTTTATAGACAAATTGTATACCAGTATTTATTGTACCATTACCAAATTCAGTTGCAGCGTTACACAATGTTTGATTTATTAAGCAAATATGATTTGTTCTGTCAAACTAGTAGTACACAGTAAAGAACATGGATATTATAAAGGGTCCTATGGACGATAAAGAATCATTCGTGGATTAGAACAATGTAAGATCAACTTCCCACATTAATATAGGGTGTTTTAACACCAATTTTTAAATAACAAGTAATCTAAAGTGAAAGACTTGAGTTTCTTCTAATGTCAAAAATATATAATATAATTAGATTCAGAACATTGTTCTAGACGAGAAGAGTCAATATAAGCGTACCCTGAAGTTTAAAGATTCTGTGTCCAAAAAATTAGTTCTAGTTCCAAAATAAAAGTAAACTTATTTCTAGTCCCAAAAAAATTGTTAAAAATATTTTACAAATACGTGCATTTAAATAAACTCATCTACTACACTATTAGCGTGGCAGAACAATCAAAATATATTTATTTCTTGTAGAGAAGATGGTGCAAGAAAGGAGCAGGTTTTATGTGCCTCACTGACGACACAACTTTTAAGTGTTATGGAGTTGTATATAAATTTTCGTGAGTCTTAAATAAGTACAGAGTTTTACAATAGAATGAAATTGTCATAAACTTGCGCCATCTTCACTTATTAAGCATAGAATAAGTGCTTTGTTTTGTATGATAATGCACAGTGTCCCAATTTGTATTTTGTGACCAATTCCCTAAACATGTGAACTTCCATCATAAACAATTTTCCACAATCCTTTCTAATCTCATCCAATCCACGTTGGAGCTCTCTCATATATTTTATGTGGTGCATTTCACACTCAGTCATATTTTAAAATGTAGTCACACATGCTCATCCTGTTGATGATTTTGTGACCAATGCAGCAAAATGTCAAGCGTCACACTTGAAATTATTTTGTATGCTTAGACTTGTTCATATTCGTAATTGAAAGTTCAACATTATATGAAGTTCAATAATTTCAAAGTTTTTTATGTTTTTTTGCCATGACATTTTTGCTTCATTGTCACTAAATAATTTTTCATTCTGCAGAAGTGTTAATTTACATGACAAACCTTGCTTAAAAGTTAAGTTGTACCTGTATGACATTTACTCTTCATAGCGTATTGTAGAAGTGCTTGTTGACTTCTTATGTTCAAGTAGCGCTTCTTACGAAAGGTAGAGCTTCTTAAATGCGAAATTGAGTTGAAGAAACATCTTTGCATAATTTACACCTTAAATCATTCCGTAAGTTTCTACATTACACAATTAACTACTTTGGAATAAAGCAGAATATATAAGTTTGTAATTACTGATGTATATGTCATCAATGTTCAGAAAACGTTTAAAAATTGCTTCAAAAATTATACATACAAATCCATTCACACAAAATAATTTGCATTATTTTTCATATTACAATTTTTCATTGAAAATTACAATATTTCAGAATATTGCACTTTCACTATCGCGGATCTGTCGCCATTGAATGTCCCTTCCAAATAAAAATTATTTTTACGACTTTAGTCTTTGCATCATCCACAAAATCGAAATTTTGAACTAGTAATTTCAAGCTCATAGATTAGGTAGTAATTTAAAAATTAAAAATAATAATAAATTTGGGAAAACAACTTTTTGAATCGGTTAATGCATTTTTTCATTTTTTTAATTACCAACAATTGTTTAAAAACTAGATTGCTTAATCGAAAACTGCCTCAGTTATCGTTTGTGAGTCATTATACATTTGTTCTAAATTTAATAAAAAATTGATAAACCTTATTAGAAAAATAACCACAAAAGTTTCTCAGAGTTAGAACGAGAATTGAGAATTTAATATTTTGACACGAAAGTTATGCATTTTTAGTAGGTTCTTGGGCATTATCCTTGGAATTATTTCTAGTCCATAAGTGACTGTCCATAAGGAAGTTTCAAACGGACTAAAAACTTTCTAAAAGTAACTTTTCTTTTCACGGTGCTTTTTGTCCAAAGTAATACGAGTAGTAATAGAAGTTAGTTTGGACTTGTTTGAAAATTTTTTGGACATGTTCGTAAAAAGCTTATTATAAACCATCACCTATTCGAACAATCCGAAAAATAAAATGAAGATATATTAGACATCTCTTAAAGTACACTTGTTTCACAGATAATATAATCTTCATCTTTTTATCTTCTCTTCTTTGTTTTTGTTCGATTTTTTTGCTTACTGTTATTTTTCATAATCGTCGACTTCTGGATCTTCCTTATTCAATATCTTTTGCTATTTCTTCTTCTTTCTTTGCTTTTCGTTATTATTTCAAATTGTTATTCCTCCTTTCTCTTTCTTCTTATTCTTTCAGATTTATATTTTGTTACTTTTCCACCTTATTTTTGTTCATCTTTCATCTATTGCTTGTGTCATCTCCTCTTCCTTTTCTCATCTTCATGTTCTTCTGTAACTTTCTCTTCTTCGTCTTTTCTTTTTATCCTTTTCTTCTTCCTCTGTAATGCATTTCGCACACAACCCCCCTTCACGTTCTGGCTGCATTCAACGACACCCACAGCATTTAAGAAGCCTTCCCGTAGCGTAGCGTAGTGTAGGGTGTGTGTGCGTGCGTGTGCGTGTGTGGCCCGCTTTTAACCGGCCGCTGTGGCGGGCGCGCAGATCCGGAGGAGCTGCTGCTGCTGGCGGACGGGCGCGGCGCGGGGGCCGCCGGCCGGGCGGCGTGGGACAGCCGAGGGCGCGGCGGGCGCCC